TACAAGGCTTTAACAAAGCTATTTAATGTCCTAGAGATCTTTATGATAAATGGCTGGGAAATTACAGGCATTCTGGGAGATCTGCATGGAATATCTTTCTTTCTCAAAGAATGTGTCATTGTAGCAGGACTGTGGTTTGTCCAGGATTTGGTAGTTAGAATTGACAGTGTATCTGAGCCAGTATCCCAGGCTACTTTTGGGCAGGGAACAAAAGTCTAGAAAAATGGTTCTAAAGTTAGGGAAATGGCCAAAAATGTAATTTGAAAAGCAGTCAGTTCTAGTTCTTTGAAAGCAACCTTCCCCGCTGATTTTTAAAGAAGACAATATTCTTCCTTATTCCTTTGTTTGTTGGCCCCTGGCTGCTTAGTTATTTAGTGATTTCTTATGTGCAATGCAATGCAAACCACTTGGGCATGTTGTTTGGGAATCAATGGGCCTGTTGTCCTATTCTATTGAGGATTAGCCCATGGTGAAGTCCGAAGGAAGGAAGTCTGAACAGGTAGTTAGAATAAGGGCCAGAGAGAAAGAGACTCAGAAGGTCAAGAATGGAATTGGACTGAAGAGTAGTAAGAGACACATCTTTCAGTACTCTGGACAGCTCCCATGAACTATGCTTGTTGTCAAAACTGCTGGGTGCTAATTGAGCCCTTATACTATTCAATACAATAAACTTCAAACTTTCCATATGAATATGCCCTTAGAGAAAACTGACCTGGGTCCTTGTCATTTGTCTTTGGATTCATCTTCAATTCTGGAGCCAAAACCCTTTGGATAGGTGCTTAATCTTCCTCAGTATTTCCACGAGTCTCACTGCAGTTTCAGTGCAATATCAGAAAGAGGTGTATGATTTTGTTAATACCCAGTCGCGTCTCCAAGAAACACACTCACTCACACACACCCCATGTCAGAATGCAAACCCCATTTTAGGGCTAGAAATTGAAAAACCAGTTGGTCTGCTCACAACCTATTGTTGCTTTACAAAGACAGTCAAGGACAGTCACCTGTAATTGATGCATTTGGCACAGCCATTCCTTTCTTCCTCTTGCTCATTCAGTTTTCTAGCCAGATAATTGCTAGGCTGGTTAGGACTGCCAGGGAACAGTGTATTCCCCAAATTTCTTTCTCATCCCCACTGTGAAATCAAGTATAGGGTTTGTTACCTGTAGTACGCGTGAGTCACCATCAGAACATTATGAGAACCTCTTGGCTCTAGACCCAAGGGAGGCCTTCCTCTCATGTTATCTTTCTACTTTATTAAGGAAAGTCCCTGGAAGGTAGAAATTTTTATGTTGTTTTACTGCAGAAGAAGAATCAGCCAAGAGGCTTTGTTGTTTCTGTCTAATAAAGGATTGTGGCATCTGGGACCCAGATCTTAGGTAGCCAAGCTTGCTGCAGCTATTATTAACTTCTAATTCAATAACATAAGGAATTGTGAGCTTCTTCTTGCCATTGGGTGATGCAGTGAGCATAGCCTGCCATAGATCATATGGCAAGTGAATTAACTAAGAAGGTGTTTTAAAGACTCTTTTGTCTTATTGCCAAAACCTTTATGCTCTTCTGTCCTTTGAAAACGAAAATGATTTTGTGTAAACCTAAGCGTTATGCCTTGCAGTTATACTAGCAATAGCTACAGTAGCTACCCACATGTCCTTAAAGCCCAGCTTTATACTACGAGATAAAATACTGTAATTGCAGTGTAACAAGAGAGATTTGGGGCAGTATAAAGATTCAAATAGCAAACGAAGCCACAATAATTAACCTCCTTCTACAGTAAACTCTTGATCAAACTAAACAATAAGGAACCAATCAGTGGGCAGAGCCAAATGTCGGCATTAAAGACTGAAACTCCCCACCCCCACCCCGCTCATGCTTTATGTATATATGTGATTCCAGGGAGAGGACTTTGCAAAATCTCTAGTCCCTATAACAAGTGCTTAACACAATCAACTTTAGAAGCAACATACTTTTCAGAATGTTTTCTCCAGTCTCAACTTTTGGTTGCTTTGTGAAAAAAGATGCATTTATGGACCATTAAAGCATAGAAGCAAGCTACAGGGGTAAAAAAAATATACGGGGTGACAGAAATATGCTCTGAGTTGTGACGTATGGAGTTTATTGCTACCAGATACAGCTTAATTAACTTAAAAGTGGATTATTACACAAATCAATGGAGGACAGATATTTGAATGGCTGTTGGTCATGATGGCAAAAAATGGAACCATCCTACAGGTTTCACTGGTAAGAGAAGCCCTTGAGCAATGTCCTCAGTGTCATCCCTTGAAATGTGAAGTGAAAATACATACGGCAGCTATCGCTTCTCCTTCTCATCTACCAACCCTCAGTGGGAGAGAGGATGAGTGAGTCATCTTGTGCCAAGTGCAGTACAACTCCTCTTTGTTGTTTGTTTGTTTGTTTGCTTGCTTGCTTGCTCACCCACCCTCTGCCTCAGTCAATTAGAGGGCAAGTCACCAAAGAGTAGACAGTGAGAAGGTGGATCAGCGGCATCAGTAGCTAGGATGGAGGAACCAGCTGGTGATAGACCTTTGCTAAGCGCTAGCAGGAGCCTAATGAGGCTCAACTCTAATGCTGGGTCTACCTCCATAGTCTGAGACCTCTGACTGCTTGATGCTGGGACTGGTGGGAACAAGGGATGGCTATCTCCTTCTTGACCTGCTTTGAACTTTCTAGGGACACCTGGCTCACTATTCATTGGGAGCAAAACACCACCTTTTACAACCTAAGGAAGAGCCAAGCCATTGAAGTGGCAATTTTACAAAGGAGAAGCAGAGCTGAATATGATGGATGGGCTGCAAAAGCTGCTTACTGTTACCTTTCTGGACATCATAATTACACACCTCAGGGTAAGTCTGTCAAGCTTTGGTGACGCCAGTTCTTCTGCTGAGATTAAAGCGAAGTGCTTAATTCAGAAAGAAAAAGCTGCAAAAAGGGAAAGTAGAGTGAGAATTACAGGTGTGGTCGAGAAAGGGCCTGTGGGGTTCCAGCCACCATCCCTTGCTAGCCCCTGATACTTGTGTTCATTGAGAGACATTCTAGGACCATGTTCCATGTCCCTACTGTTACAAACAAGCCAGCTTTTGGAGTGCCTTCTGTGAACACATAAGGGCTATATATCATAGGTTCTGGCTGAGCTTTTCCCTCTCAGGACTTCCCTAACTTGAGAAGCTGAGAGACCATTTGCCTACCTAGCCCAGCACCGCCTTGAGAGTTTTAAATAAAGGCTGCCCCAGACTTTCTGGGGATTGAATCTGGGATTGAATTGGCATACAATGCATGTGCTATTCATCTGAGCTACACCCCTTCCCCAGACCTGCGCTGTGATGTCTGCTACCGGCTGAGGAGTGTTTACTGGCAGTACCGAAACAGGTCTTATCTACCCTGGAGCTACCCTCAGTCCTTGCTGTGAAGAACATAAGAATGTTCTTCCAGGTCAAACCAGGCCTGGCATTGTGCCTCTGAGGGTGGCTAATTCAAAACGATCGAGAAATTGTTAAGCACAGGAGCACGCAAGTCAGACAACTCCAGGTAAGGGCCGCACTATTTATTTACTTAATGAGAACCGTAGCTCTGAACTGCAAGCATTACAAATGGATAATGGCATTAAAATGGAGTTCAAGCTGTTGAGGGAGGGAGAGTGGGATGGAAAGTCTGAATAGAGGCTGTTTCCATCCAAACCCTCCATTACAGGTGCAGGTGGTATAACAGCCTGCTGAGGTCATGTGGCTGTGCAAGTTTTCCTTTGGAAGGCTGTACAGTAATCACTACGAAGACTTTCCCCCTCATGCCACTTTGGAATTTCTACGTTGTTTCTCCTGCATCCCCCAACCTCTGTGAATTTTATTTATTTATAACCTGCATTTTTACGTGCTCAAAGTAGCTTACAACAGCACATACAGATTATAATTTTTATTCTTTTCCACCATTCCTCCAAGAAGCTGGTGGCAGCACTCCTGGATCCCTCTCTGCCTCTATTTTACCCTCATAACAATCCCAAGAGGCAGCTTATGTTGAGAGAGAGTGCCTGACCCTTAGTCTCTGAGGGGATTTGAATAAGTCACTCAGAACAATGTCCATCCCACAGGTGTGCAACCTGTGCACATGTGGCTCTCCACCTCCTTCAGCAGATAGAACAGCCCTTTCAAAGGCTGTTCTAGTACCAGGGTCTGCATTTTGCCCTCTGGATTGCCTCCTGACCCTAACAGCTGTGTGTGCCAGGAATAAGTCACTGCTTTACTGACTGCAAGAAGGCAGCTGAGGCAGTGGGATGGATGGCATGTTCACAAGGGAAGCCAGAGTGAGTCTAAAAGTCAGAGAGAGAGAGAGAGAGAGAGAGAGAGAGAGAGAGAGAGAGAGAAGAGAATGAATGGAATAAGAATGTACATCAGAGACCCAGAACAGCCAAAGGGAGCTTCTGGAGCCCTCTATCCATTTGTTGTGCATCTGGTGTATCACACCTCTAGGCACAACTAAAGAACTTCATCCCCTTTTCATTCACTTCCACCTTATAGCAGTCTAAGATGGGCCAAGGTTTTTGATGATGCCTTGCCCTTGACCACTTTAACTATCAGCCAAACCCCATTTCCCACACATTTCAGTTTGGTAATTCCCAAGCTGTCAGTCCATGCTTTATTAGTGAAAACAAAAAGCCATTGCAAAGAGAAAGAGAGAGAGAGAACAGGGAAAAGGACCTGTGGGAGACCTGCCCTGTCATATCCACAAGGCAGCGTTAAGCGCTGATAAAACTATTCCACAGAGAACAACATAAGATAGAGGAAAACAAATCCAAGCCAATGGTATACATCAACCTTCAGCAACCTGGTGCCCTTTGGATGTTATTGGGCTACAACTCACATTAGACTCAGCCAGATAAACATTGGAAGCTGTCTTGAGTCAGACCTATTGGTCCATCAAGCTTAGTATTGTCTGCACTGACTGGCAGCAGCTCTCCAGGATTTTAGGCAGCAGTCTCTCCCAGGCCTAGCTGGAGATGCTGGGGATTGAACCTGGAACCTGCCACTTGCAAAACAGATGCTCTACCATTGAGCTATGGCCCTTTCCTCACATTACAATTGCAGACCCATGCAGTAGAATCAGGTTGCCAGTGGCTCCCTGTAAAGGTGGATAAAGGGCATTTTAAAGTGCTGAACAAATAAGTAGGAGGGACAAAGTGAACCTTTTCCCCACTTACATTTCCTCTCCTTTCCTTACGTCTTTCTTTTCAGCCATTTTTGGCCTGGTCAAGCTCAGTAACTGGAAGCAACCCTCGCCGGAAGAAAAATGGCTGGAGGAAAAAAAGCCCCAATATGGGGGGAGAAAAGCTTAGGCAATTATCTATGAACTTTGCCCATCTTGTATCTTGTGACTCTCTTATTGACCCATCGCTCATCCCCAGCTGTCATCCACTCTAACTTGTGTCTCATTATTACACATACACAATCCATTTCTTCTCATCTTGCCTCTCTGCTCATCTTCAGCGAAAGGTGCTGCTTGTTACGCCCATATGAGAAATCCACTTACAATACGGAAACATCAGTGGGGGAGACGGGAAAAGCACAGATCTCAGCTTTATTGCCTCCTTCTTTGAAAGTGATCTGGAAGACGATGCTGAGACACGCAGCGACACTTCCTGCCACCTGGTGGCAAGAAGGAGTAAATCAACCCCCTTTATCGAAACTGTCCTGTAAAGTTGCTTGAATTTATTTAGTACGTTTATTTAGTAATCGTAGACCCCTTCATCTATACAAATCCTAAATACATCACAAAACAGTTTGCACAGTGACACTCTCTTCTCCCAAAGACGCATCAAAGTCTGAGCCTGAACATTTCCCAGAGGTACTGCAAGGGCAACTTCTTGCTCTGGTTGTTTTGGCAAATTGAAAATAACTGTAGTACACAGGAAGTTGCTTTATGCTGACTAAGACCATTGACGCATCTAGCTTAGTATTGTCAACCCTGACTGGCAGCTGCTCTCCAGGGTCAGACAGGGGGCTTTCCTGGAGATACTGAACCTGGGATCTTTTGCATGCAGGGTATTTACTCCACCACTGAGCTATCGTCCTGCCTAGGGATACTTGAGGATGTTATCTGGTCCACATTTTTAAGTGATCAGACCTGATTTGCACTTCCTGGACTTAGTGCATGGATCAAAATGCAGCTGTCCTTTGGTTTTCACACCTCTCCACATTTTGCAATGCACTTCTCAGCTTTAGAAAGAGGCATCAAAATCTTTCAAGATGGAGGGTTCTCTACCTTTCTCTGCTTCAAAATTAATGAGGCCATGGATAGGGGGAAGGCAGAGATGGTAGCAAGGTGTGAGGTAAGCAGGTGTCTTGACCTCACCTGCTCACCCCAAACCTATTGCAAAGATTCAAACTGCTCTCGAATCCTTGCGACAACCCTATCCGATATATGGAGCAGTTTCAATAGTCTCACCTCCCTGAGCTTTTTCTCTAGGTTCCATTTCCTCCAGCCATTCAGCAACAGTTTAAGATTCATTTCCCCACAGGGGCTGTTATCTCTGGCTGACGGTGTGAAATGTTAAAGTCATTGCCTTTCAATCAATACAGGGCAACTACTTTGATGACGCCAATTGCGCCTAAAAAAAAGTAGAATAGGAGCAAAAAGGTTATGCAGGCACACATCCAAAATAGAGGCCCACTGTTTTCATCTACCATGATGCATCCAGCTCAGAAACCCATGTCTGTTGTTGCTCGGCAGATCAGTAGCACTCCAAAAGTTGCCTTCTTTTCTAATTTCTGAAGTGTTGGATTCAAGAAGGAGCTGGCCCTACCATTAGACAAAGTGAGATGGCCACTTCAGGTGACATCTGCTGGGAGGCAGGCAACAGTGGTGAGGGCACAGCTGTGTGGCCCCTAACCTAGCATGTTGCCCTCATGTGTGTGGAAGCGCAGTATCCTATGACTAATATGGAGGTAAAAATTCAACTGCTTGCCCAGTTGACTTCTGAACATAGACTGGTGGTGGGGTGGGTGCCCACCTGTCCTTCACTTCAGGCTGCAAAACGTTTTGGGCTGACCCTGGTGGAAAGGATAAGTTATACCCTCCAGGGGCCCAGTGCAGTCCCTGGTCAAGATGAGACAAAACAGAGTGTCTTGACTGTGCTTCCAACTAAGCATCAGAGATTCATGATCAAGGTGGGACTTCGTCAAAACCTTCATTGCTATTCACACTGTGGAGTGAGAAGTGAATGAGGTCTAGCCTTGAGGAAGATTGTATTTGCAGCGTAGCTCATGTGGCAAAAGTCGTTCAACTCTTGCTTTGTTCAGAAAATGGACCCTGTTTAAAATCAGTTGCCGGCTGAAGAACGGTGGGATGTGCCTCCTGCAAAACGCCTGTGAGATTTACCCTTTCAAAAGCAGAATTGCATTTATAAACTATTGTTCATTAACACATGCAGACATTCCCCATGACACCGTGAAGTTTTAATAAACAGTATTGTAGGGGCCTCGAGAGATTTGCTTGAGGGAGTCCAAAATGGCTTTTTTCATTATAAATTCTTGCTCTGGGAGCTTACACGAAGAGGTAAACAAACCAGCAGCCCCCTTTTCTTCCCAAAGCAAATATTTTGGAATAATTGTGAATCTGCAACAATAGGAAACATTATGTGGATGGCAGGTGGACTTCGCTAAATGTATCCTCTTTGGAGCAGTAGACTTTTATTGCCTTGGCACAGAGCACAAAAGTTTACAAGCTCTCTCTTTCTCTCTCTCCCTCCCCCCCACCCCCCGTTTTGTCTCCTCCTTTCCTCTCTTTAAATTTTAAAGCAAGCTTGGACGGACAGGAGGGGCTTGAGGCGAAGATAAAAAAATATTTAATGGTGCACCAAATTTTCATGAGATTTCGTTCTCGTTTTTATAACTGCCATTGCAAGGGAATTTGGGAGAGTAAAAGAAACCATGTTCCATTCTTGGACATACATTGTCTATACTATAGAAACACATATCTCTAGTTTATTCACATGCAGTTACACATAAAAAGTTGGGATTGTGGAAGATGGCATCTCCCATGTTGGATGGGGGTGGAGAAGATGCATTGAGATTTTCTCAATGAGGATTCATCGGAGAGCCAATGGGGTGTAGTGGTTTGAACATCATATTTAAATCCCTAGCCAAGCAAGTAGCCTTGGACCAGTCACTACCTTTCAGTCTAACTTAACTCACTGGGTTGTCGTGAAGACAGAAGAGTTGGAGCAAGGGTGAGATGTAGATGTCATTAATCCTTCACTTACTGAAAAGCTCCACAGTATGCTTGACAATCTTTGAGAAGCACATGGCTCTTCCCATGTTGCTATCTGTCCATGTACTCCCTGATATCAAACGAGAAAAGAAAGCTCTTTTGTGTGGATGTTTTACATGCTGAAGAAAATTGACCAAACAGGAAACATTTAGGCATGAGTCAGTGGTGCGGGGGGGGGGGGGGACGACGACAAGATAGGCTTCAAATTTCGGGGCTGCTTGCAAAGAAAACCTAGCATAAAACAGAATGCACATTCTTATGTAACAGAAGCAAGGTGACAATGCCCCATGGAAGCATTTTGAGCTTGGCTGCACATGTGTACAGGATGCTTGTAAAAAGGATGCAGCAATAACAAAAGCCCAGTTGCAAGAGTAAAGGAAAAACACACTGAAAGCACACAACGTCCCAAAAGCATCCTAGGACCTGTAGTTTAAGCGTGCTGGGTATGTGAGGGGGCAAATGAGAATGCCCAGAATCCTTTACAGGAAGACTTGCGCTTTAAATGTATGCTGTGAATGTTTGTCATTATCAGTTTTTGGAAAGTTCATTTTTGAAAAAAGAATTAGTTCCAGTTCCAGTTTGGCCCCTCCAGAAAGGAACTAATTCGGTTGTTCCTGTACAGAATATACTTGAGAAGACTTGAGAATATATATATATATATATATATATATATATATATATATATATATGGAGAGGCTGGGACATTACTCACTATCAAAGTCAGCACATTTCTTCCCTAGTTACCTACTTGAAGAATAGAATGCAGGTCACACCATTAACCTAATCTCAGATTGCCAGCTGAGAATATCTTATTGCAGGAGGAGAGAGGCTGTTTTATGGGGCCCTGACTCCTAGTGCTTGCCCATTTCGTCAGAAAAGTGAGGAAAAGGCCACACTGACACCATACATATAAAGCACTATGATCCCACTTTGAACAGTCATTGTTTTCCTGAAAGGATTTTGGGAAGTGTTGTTTGTTAAGAGTGTGGAGAGTTGCTTTGTTGTTTAGTCGTTTAGTCGTGTCCGACTCTTCGTGACCCCATGGACCAGAGCATGCCAGGCACTCCTGTCTTCCACTGCCTCCCGCAGTTTGGTCAAACTCATGTTAGTAGCTTCCATTGAGTTTTCTTGGCAGGGATATTGGAGTAGCTTGCTGGTTCCTGCTCCAGGTGGATCACGTTTAGTCAAAACTCTCCACTATGACCTGTCCATTTTGGGTGGCCCTGCACGGCATAGCTCATAGCTTCTCTGAGTTATCCAAGCCCCTTCGCCACCACAAGGCAGTGATCCATGAAGGAGAGTTGCTAGGAGACCCCTATTTTCCTCACAGAGCTACAATTCCCAGAATTTCCTGTGAATAGCTCTGAGAGAGGAATAGGGGTCTCTTAGCAACTCCATAGCAAACTACACCTTCCCATAATTATTTGGCAGACGCCATGATGTTTAAAGTGGTGGCATGGTTGTAGAGATGTATGGTGTGAATGTGGCTGTTAAAGGTATTGGTTGGTTGCTCAAGAGCAATCAGGCAATATGCTTCAATAGTCTGTTTTAAAGCTTTCTTATTGGTGATAAAAACCTTTAGAATGCAGAGCGCCTCTATTCCGTGTCTTGCTCATTCACTGGCAGAATCTGAGAGTGGGCGGTCCGTAAACCTTCCCCAGCAGAGTAGTTTCTTGATGCCCAGTCTGCGCCTCCCCTCTCTGTGCGGAAGCCTACTGCGCAAGGAAGGCATGGGTAACGGGGGACCTCTCTCCTCCCCGCTTTGCTCGGGCAAGGTGTCCTGGCACCGCCTTGCCT